AAGCTACACCTCCTAATAGTGCCACTTCCTATGAGATTATGGGGGATAATTACATTCAAACTACTACATTTGACTCCCTGGCCCCCATAAACTTGTAACAATATCATATGCAAAATGCATTTAGTCCAACTTCAGGGTCCCATGTTCTATCACAGTCTCAACGATCTTTAAGAGACCAAAGTTAAAAGTGTCTTCTGAGATTCATGCAATCTCGTAACTGTCATCCCTTATAAAATCAAAATTAAAAAAGAAGACATAGTTCCAACATATAATGGCACAGGACATACATTATCATGCCAAAACATAGGGAAGGTAGCACAGTGAGGAAACACTGAACAAAAGCAAGACCAAACATCAGCTGGGCAAACTCCAAACTCAACGTCTTCATGTCTGATGTCAAAATGATATTCAGATCTCTAGCCCTGTTCAGCTTTGTTGACTGCAACACACCTCTTTCTCTTGGGCTGGTTCTATTCCCTGCTGGCAGCTCTCCTCAGCAGGTATCCCCCAGCTCTGTCATCCCTAACATCTTGAGTTCCCCAAGGCAATCCAGGTTTCAATATCACAGCTTCACGCAATGGCCTTTCTAGGCCTCCATTCAGGGACACTCCTGACGTGTACCTGGCTTCAGCTGCTTTTCTTAATCTCTAGGGAAAACTCCATAACTTGTTTCTTCTATCCTTAACTCTAACCAGAACCATGTGGCTGAAGCTGCCAAGTTCTGTTATTTACCGAGGCTAGAAGATGGCCCCCTCATTCAATTACATCTTCACCAGCTTTCTGTCATTCACTGCTTAAACTTGGCTGTCCTGAAATTGGATCTCTAGACAGGCTGGCCTCAAACTCAAGAGATTCAACAGTCCTGCCACACCCGGCTCTAAGCTTTTCTTTAATTCCTTCTCATCAGCTGGAAACTTAGCTGGGTGGGGTCTTGCCCTAGGGTCACCTCTCCCTCCCTCCCTCCCTCTCTCCCTCCCTCCCTCCCTTCCTTCCTTTCTCTTTCTCTCCCTCCCTCTTTCTTTCTCTTTCTCTCTGTCTCCCTCCCTCTCTCCTTCCCCCCTCTCTCTTTCTTTCTTATTTTGTTTTTTCAAACAGGGTTTCTCTGTGTAATAGCCCTGGCTGTCCTAGAACTCGATTTGTATACCAGTAGGGCCTTGAACTCACAGAGATCTGCCTATCTCTGCTTCCCGAGTGCTGGGATTAAAGGCATGAGCCACCACTACCTGACTTATTCCATTCATCTCCTTGAGCACAGGATTTAGCTCCATTCTACTTCCTGTTGCTCTTTTTACATTTTGTAATTCACCCTGCTTAGCTTGCCCCTTTTCATTAAAAATCTTCATTAGAGTTACCACTAATAACCATACGACAGAGTCTATACTAGGCTGTTTTTATGATTTCCTCTGCCAATGGAATTAATCCAAAATTCTTCATTTTAGCCTCAAACAGACTGTTTGGACAAGGGCAAAAAGCAGCCACTTTCTTCACCAAAATATCCCAAGACCAGTCTCTAGGCCACATTCCAACATTATTTTCCTCTGCAACCTCTCGATCTCCACCTTTGATCTTCATCAAATCACACTCAGCACCACTGTCTTCCATGTTCCCGCTAGTGTGGCCCTTTAAGCAGCACTTACAGCATTCCACTGCTTTCCTAACCCAAATCCCCCAAATTCATATTACCTCAAACAGGCTGAGATAGGTCAGGCCTATCTCAGCAACACCCCAGTCCTTGGTAGCAACTTCTGTCTTCGTTAGGGTTTTATTACAGCATAACCACGGCAACTCTTATAAACGAAAACACTTAATTGGGGTAACTCACAGTTTCAGAGGTTCAGCTCATCATCATCATGATGGCATGCAGGCAGTTGCGGTATTGTAGGAGTAGCTGAGAGTTCTAAACCTTGCAGACAATAGGAAGTCGACTGAGACACTGGGTGGCATCCTGAGCATAGGAAACCTCAAAGCCTGCTCCTACAATGACAATTTCCTCTAAGAGGGCCATCCTACTCCAACAAAGCCACATCTCCTAATAGTGCTACTGCCTGTGAGATTATGGGGGCCAATTACTTTCAAACTGCCACGGTGGGAATGTTGGCATTTCCCTGACAGCCTGTTTTCAACTAATAACTCACATAGTCATATGATGGTTCCATAACTTCAATATTATGAACCACTCTGTTTTTTTCTTTCACTTTATGGTTCTTTTTTTCTTTTTTATCTGTTCTCCTCTCATATATTACGTCTGTAGTTTTCCCTCCCTCCACTCCCCCAGTACCTTACCCCTCTGCCCACATTCCCCAGATCCACTCTTCCTGGTTTCCTTTCAGAAAAGGGCAGGCATCCCAGGGATGTCAATCAAACATGGTTCTTTGAAAGATGAATGTGAGTGTCTCATTCCTTATTGTTTTCCTTAACACTTCCTTCTGTCTGCAGGATAAAAATTGAAAGTCTTACAAAGACCTTCCAGGGCTCAGCACTTGCTCATTCTTTGTCCTTTCCCTACAGCCTTGGCCTCATCGCTCGTGAATCCTCACTCTGCTGTGTTAACTCCTTACAGGGTACTAGAAAAAGAAGCTGCCCCATGAGAGTTACTTCACAAACTCAGAAAAAAAAAATAAGGGAAAACCCTCTAATAAGAATAGTTTGCTATGTGGTGGTGGTACATGCCATCAATCCCAGTACTTGGGAGGCATAAAGGCAGGCTGATCTCTGTGAGTTTGAGGCCAGCCTGGTCTATAAAGCTAGTTCCATGACAGTCAGAGCTATTACACAGAGAAACTCTGTCTTGAAAAACCAAAGAAAGGAAGAAAGGAAGGAATGAAGGAAGGAACAAACAGTAGCTTGTGTTCAGTCTTGGCTAGTGCCCAAAGAGAAACTTCACCTGCATAGAAAATATTTGAGGCTTATGTAGATCTGGAGTTGTAACATTTCACAAATTATGTCACTTGAACATTCTTTTAAAGTCCCAGCTCCGAGTTACATTCTGAGCAATTAAACATGTTTTACAGAAACTTAGCCATTTGAGATAAAACAGGGATACCACCAATACTATCTCTAAAGTAGGTCAAAATGGGGAGACGTGTACTGTAAAGGCATGGTCACAAATGTCACAGATACCTTAGCACCTCAGTTTTTTGCCAGCTACTACTCGATAACCAAGGTTATCCTGTCAGCCTGGCACAATTAACCTTTTCCTGGTAGAGAAATGGGAACCAGAACTCAAAAGCGGCTATGATGCAATGCTCTCTCCCTTTCTTTGACTGCCCGATAGAGGTATGTTCTTTGATGTGAGAAAGAGCCTAATGGCCAGCTATGGGCCAGGATTGTCTTCTTTTTCTTTTTATTTGCAGTTTTTATTAATTTATTTTTTACATTCCAATCCCATTATCCCATTTCCCCCTTCCTCTTCTCCTCTTACTACCCGTACTTTCCCCCACCCCATCTCCCCATCTGCTCCTCGGATAAGATAAGGCCTCTCTTAGGAAGTCTACTAAGTCTATCCTATCATCTAATTGAGGCAGGACCAAGGCACCCCCACACCCCTGAGTCTAGGCTGAGCAAGATATCTCTCCATATAGAATGGGCGCCACTAAGTCAATTTGTGCATTAGGGTTAGATCTCGGACCCACTGCCAAGGGCCTCATATATTACCCCAGCCTCACCATTGTCACCTGTATTCAGGGAGTCTAGTTCAGTCTTATTCAGGTTCCCCAGTTGTGAGATCTGAGTCAGTGATCTCTCACTAGCTCGGGTCAGCTGATTCTGTGGGTTTCCCCATCATGGTCTTGACTCCCTTGTTCATATTATCACTCCTCCCTCACTTTGGCTGTACTCCAGGAGCCTGGACCAATGGTTAGTTATAGATTTGTGCATATGCTTCCATCTGTTTCTGGAAGAGGGTTTAAGCTTTCCTGCTGGTATGGATTGTAGGCTGGGTATCTTTTACTTTATGTCTGGTATCCATTTATAAGTGAGTACATCTATATTTGTCTTTCTGGTTTTGGGTTACCTCACTCAGGATGTTTTTTTCTAGTTCTGTCCACTTGCCTGCAAATTTCAGGATGCCATTGTTTGTTACTGCTGAGTAGTACTCTATTGTCTAAATGTACCACACTCAGAAAATTAGGGATCAACCTACCTCAAGACCCTACAACATCACTTTGGGGCATATACCCACAGGAGGCACACTCACACCACAAGGACATTTGCTTGACTATGTTCATAGCAACATTATTGGTAACAGCCAGACTTTGGAAATAACCTAGATGCCCCATCAACCAGAAAATGGATAGAAAAAATAGGGTTGTCTTCTAAAATAGGGCCTACTTGATGGCAATCTTAATGGATAGACCTGGTTGTTACTTCTTAAATACATTTTTCAGTATTCTCTTGACCTTGGCTGCCTTTAGGACTCAGTCCAAGTGCTGCCTCCTCCAGGAAGCCTTCTGGGTTCTCTCAGGCTGAGCAAGCCTCCCAGTGGCCTCTTCTCTTCTTTCACAGTGTGCTCTTTTCTGTTAACAAGTCTGCATTTCCACTGATCCCTGGGCGTTTTCTCCTCTACCTAGCAAAGAGCTCAGATTATCTCCCTTGATTGTGCTTGCCACAATGAATGAATGAATGAATGAATGAATGAATGAATGAAGACCAGCCTGTGCTCCTCACGTGGGTCATGTGCTTCATTCTTAGCCCAGTCGTCCAGGCCAGAAATGGAGGGTTCCCATTAGGGCCCTGCAGGATTAGCCTCTGTTCCTCCCCGCCTTGAGGCTGACTCACACTTGAAGTTCAAGGGGAAAAGTTTGCTGGTACGAATGGGAGCTGGGAGTGATGAGGTAAGCAGGGGATTTGCATTATCCAGGTAAAAATTTGGAGGACCAGAAAATTGTGCCAAGTCATTTTTAACTAAAACATGTCTTCCATGGAAGCATGTGGGCTGTTCGCTCAGCCACCTCCGCCCTTTTTACCTCAATTCACTGCTCTCCCCTTCTGAGTCATACTGACAACTTCCCTGCTGGTCATTAGTCTCCTGACCACCTTTCTTCTCATTTGCTCTCTTCCTGACTTGGTAGCTGTTTCTGAGTCGCTAGCCTCTCAGAGCCCGGCTTCTGTTCTCCAGTCATGAACTGTACTTGGAAAGCCCTTCTTCTGCTGACAGGTGAGCCTGAGCCTGAAAGAGAGATGCTGGGTACTTGGGTCTTGGTGAGCCAGGCCCCTGAGCTGGAGGATGTGGTTGAGAAAACGGTCTTGGCAAGGAGAGAGATGTTGGGGGAGGGGCAGAGATATAGCGCTTGGGATCTGGAGTTTGGGGGAATGAGACAGTCTGGGGGAGAACCCAAGTGGTCCTGAGAATGAGGCTAGTTGGCCTTGACAACCCACAGATTTCTGAAGGAGGCAGAGCAAGTACATTTCATGGTGTACCCCTAATGCCCCTTGGTTTCCAGGTTTCCCTGGATTCTCCCTCAGCGAAGCACCAGGTGGGAAAAGAGTGTCTTTTAAACTTTGAGGGTCACTCTGTGGAAACAGAACTGAAACTTAACAGTGGAAAGTGACCTGTCAGCCGGGAGAAGGAGAGACGTGAGACGAGTCAGGAGCCCAGGGCCAGGGCTCTGGGTACCAAGTGTGGAAGAGAGACAGGGTCGGGAGCCTGAGAGATGCAGCCCAGAGGGGCAATGGTGGTCAAGGGGAAAAGACCCGCTCTAAACTTCTCACACTTCCCTAGCTTTTGTTTCTTCTCTTGGCTTCAACTTGGACACAGAGAAGCCAACACATTTCCATATGGATGTTGCTGGCTTTGGACACAGTGTGGTTCAGTATGACAACACCTGGTGAGGACTGGTGGGGTGGGGGTCGCTGCACAGAACCCTTTCTCTCCTCAGCCCCACACTCCAGTGCCATCGCCTGCATACTTGTCCTTTGTGGGATGTGGCAATTTTCTTCATGTTAAGAATGTTTGCCTAAAACAGTCCTTTTGAATAACTTCAGCTAACATTTACTGAGTGCTCACTAAGTGTCAGGCATTGTGACCCATATGGCATAGGGGGTGTTCATTTAGACCTCATAGGACACTCACAAGGAATTGTTCATCTAACATATATTTACTAAATACCTAGATGCCGGGAGTGGAGGGTTCCCATCAGGAGAGAACAAAGCAAGAAAAACCAACTGCCCAGAGCTTGCATTGCTATGACCTTTGCTTTTCCAGAGGGGTGAACACAACTCTCTACAGTGACTCCAATGTTGATGCTCCCAGCTGCAGCTCTCTGTGTCTCCCCACAGGGTGGTGGTGGGAGCTCCAAAGGAAATAAGGGCCACTAACCAAATGGGTGGCCTTTACAGATGTGGCTATCACATGGACAAGTGTGAGCCTGTCCACCTCCAGGGTGAGTCATGACTCTACCTCGGGCCTAGAGCTGAGCTATGCAGTGAGACTCGTGTACAGCCCAGGAGTCCCACTTGCCAGCTGTAGCTCTATCCATACACTCAGCCTCAGACAAGCTCCTGGGCCTACCCATTATGCTCCATGCTGCCCCAGCCTTCTTATGATATGGATGACTGTTTCACCTGGGGGAAGGGCTCTGTGTCTCCCAGGTGGGGAGGTGAAGCCTATTCTTCTCCGACATGGTGTTTTCTGTCCTCAAAGGTGACTATGTACATGTCTATCTCCTCAGTGCCCCCAGAAGCTGTGAACATGTCCCTGGGTCTGTCCCTCACTGCTGCCAGCAACCCTCCCAGGCTGTTGGTGAGTGCCCTCAATCTCACAGGAGGGTCTAGAGTGGATGGACAGGGGCCTGGGGCTGCTGGTCTGGGGGTGTTATGGACACTTGAGGTCCGATTTACAGCCCCGATTCATCAGCCCCCTCTGCCCCAAGGCCTGTGGTCCTACTGTGCACCACACATGCAGAGAGAACATATACTTGACGGGACTCTGCTTTCTACTGGTCTCATCCTTCCTGCAGTACCAAAGGCTCCCCACTGTGCCACAGGGTAAGTATTCAGGGCCACCAGTTCCTTGGGAGCCCACACACATCCATCTGGGGGTTCAGTGGGTCAGATTCTTTCCCCAGAGTGAGTAAGGAAGAGTGTGTCTGGATGAACCATTGCCGGATGGCGCAGCAGCCAGGCGCAGCTGGAGAGACACTGCTGGCCCTGATATGCATTCTGTTATTGTCTTGGAGCTTTGGTTTTTGCATCTGTCAGATGGGACTAGTAATGTATGGAACTTTGGACGTAACGCTAGTTGAGACCCAAGACCAGCATTTGGTACAGAGCCTGATCTGATGTCTGATGTGGGTGCCAATGATAAAAGCCATTGTTGCTTTTAGAACAAGAGTGAAGGGACTCATTTTCCAGTGATGACTGATGAACAGTCTGGGACTGGCTGCTGAAGGTGCAGTCTGTGCTGTATGTATGTGCATATGCTCTCTCTCTCTCTCTCTCTCTCTCTCTCTCTCTCTCTCTCTCTGTGTGTGTGTGTGTGTGTAATGACTTCTCTGGTGCTGATGGAAATGGAGGAGGAGGAGTGAGCTTCTCCAGTCCAATCCATGGCCAGCTGAGGCTGTCCCCTGGTTTCATACTTACTCAGAGGCCCATGGGGGAAATGGATGGTCATCTCTTAGGGAAATCTGCTGTGCTCAGACTCTATCCATAAGAACTGTCAGAAACCTAGCCAGTCTCTGTCTTTTGAGAGAACACAGAAAGGGAAGGCTGGTGGAATGCTGGGAACATTTAGAGAGGCCATGCATTTGGTTAGTGGCCTTTATCTTCCTGGGTGCCTCCAGCATCACTGTGTGCAGGCAAAGAACCCTGCAGCTAAGAGCGTAAGCAGGGCTGCTCCAGGGGAAGAGGAGGGAGTGGGGGGATGGAGAAGGTAGAGGGGGTGGAGGAGGGTGAAGGGGGGACAGGGGTGCAGGGGTACAGGGTGCCGGGGTGCTGGGGTGCAGGGGGTATAGGGTATTGGGGGGATGAGTTCTTGTGGCCAGGAGATCTTGTGAGTGTGTCTTGGAGGATCAGAGCAACATCCTTTCTTAGAGTGTCCAAGACAGGACCAGGACATTGTGTTCTTGATTGACGGCTCGGGTAGCATCGCTCACAGAGATTTTCAAACAATGCTGAAATTCGTGGAAGCTGTGATGAAACAATTCTATCGCCCTCGCACACAGGTGTGTGCCTGGGTCCTGGGCCTGCGGGGCTTGCTGGGCAGGGTTGAGGAGTCCTGGGGAAACCATCTTAGCCCTCAGTCCCATGTGGTTTTTTTTTGTTTTTTTTTTTTTTCTTAGTTCTCCTTGATGCAGTTCTCCCATAGATTCTGGACACATTTTACTTTTAATGACTTCGCCTCTGCTTCAAATCCTTTAAACCAGTTGAACTCTGTGAATCAGCTGGGAGGGTTTACACACACAGCCACGGCTATCAAGTATGCCATGTGAGTGCAGAATTCCCGGGCGTCCTTTCCCAGAGCATTCAGGGTTCTCTTGGGGTCTCATCAGCCTTTCTAAGAAAGGAATAGGAGATCTTGAAATGTAGCCTGTTGGTCCTCTTGCCAAACTCGGGGGGGGGTATCTATGAGCGGGGATGAGGCCTCTCACAGGAAAGGCTGTGTCCTCATGTTCACGAAGCCATTAGAAGTCAGTGTCACAGACCTCTGCCTTCTCTTTGTTAATAGAACAGAACTGTTCACTGCCCAAAGAGGGGCTCGGAAAGATGCCACCAAGGTCCTCATTGTCATTACTGATGGGAAGAAAAAAGGTGACAGCCGGAATTATAATGAAGTCATCCCCTTGGCTGAGGCTGCGGGCATCATTCGTTATGCAATTGGGGTAGGAGACAAAGATGGTAACTCACCACTTCCTCCTGTCACTTCCTCTTGAAGCAACTTCCTCTAAAGGGTAGAAACCTGTTTTCTCATGTTCTGCTGTATTAGATATTTGGAGCCAGGGACCTGTGACCCCAGGCTTCCGTTCCCTAATGCCCTTTGAGCCTCATTTCAAAAGAATCTCCAAGGGCGATTGATGGCAGCATATGTAGCGCCTTAGCCACTGGCCTCATTGTGGTAAAGCATCCAACAGAAACTCTTGAGGGAGACATAGCTGTCTTTATTTACTCCTGGAGAGTTTCACACATAGGTGCAATGACATGTGATCACGCACACTTTCCATTCCCTATTTCTGCTCCCTTAATGAAGCCCCCGTGTCACTGTGTGCTTTTAAAAATAGCCCACTATGTTCATTTAGTGCTGCCCATATGTGCATGGCTGCAGGGTCATCTGGTGGAGCCCTGGAAACCCTACTAGTAACCGTACTCTAAAAGAAGGATGACCCCTCCCTGGCAGCTATGAAGTACCAATGGCTATGTGGGATGAGGCATGGATGTCATCTTTCCTGTCTATGTGGGACTTTTGGCTGGCTAGATGTTATTCGTGTCTTGTGAAAGTAACCACAGCTGGTGATGTTCATGAATGCAACAAGCATGTCATGTCCAGCAGACATTACTTCACCATACTCCCCCTTATCCACCAGCCCTTCCAATCTCCATCTCCTTCTGCAATGGAATGACTAATTCTGATTCACAGTTTCAGAAGGGCTCAGTCCATGATGGAGGAGAAGAAATTCATGGTGGTGGGAGGGTGAGTTCACAGTGCTTCACATTGTGGAGGCCCAGAAAAGAGGCGAGAGAGAGTGAGGGAGTAGTTGCAGGATACCTACCATTCAAAAGCTCATCCCCAGTGACCTACCTCTGCCGGTCAAGCCCCACCCCACAGGCTGGTTAAAACATGAATGCATAGGGGAGTTTGCAGACCCAAGAAATAGCATTAGGCATAGGCCTATGAGAATTTTGATTCTCTCTGGGTTGGTCTTTGTTGGGAACAGGTAGGACAGGCCTTTTACAGTGGACATTCCTGGCAAGAATTAGTGGATATTGCATCGATGCCTTCCCAAGAATACATTTTCAATGTGGAGAACTTTGAGGCTTTGAAGACCATTCAGAACCAGCTGAAGGAGAAGATCTTTGCCATTGAGGGTGAGCCAGCAATAAAGCTACTTGCCTCAGGTCCCCAAGCATAGGGATTTTCCTTTTTGAACCTAGACTCTCATGAACTGGGCACTAATCCTCACTAGAGGATTAGTCTCTGATCATAGTCTCCCCTAAGAAGCCTCCCTGAACCTGGGAGATGTCTTTCTCCCTGTAAACTGAGCAGCTTGCCTTCCACAGGCACCGAGACAGCAAGCAGCAGTTCTTTTGAGTTGGAGATGTCCCAGGATGGCTTCAGTGCTGCCTTTACGCCTGTGAGTTGAGCAGTGATGTAGGATGATGGAAAGGAGGGCATCCTTGAGGCGGTTGCTAGATGGGTGTGTGGAGCCAGGAGAAGTCCTCCTTCGGATCAGACTGGCATCCTACTCCAGCCTGCTGAGCCCTGGGATCCTTTCCTCCCAGGATGGACCAGTTCTGGGAGCTGTGGGAAGCTTCAGCTGGTCTGGAGGTGCCTTCTTATACCCCCCAAATACGAGACCCACCTTCATCAACATGTCTCAGGAGAATGTGGACATGAGGGACGCCTACCTGGGTAAGAAGAGGCTGTGGGAGGAGAAGGGGCAGGAAGAGCTGCCCGAAGACAGGAAGAGCCTTGGTGCTGAGGTCTGGACCCCTCAGGTTACTCTACCGCACTGGCCTTTTGGAAGGGGGTCTACAGCCTGGTCCTAGGGGCCCCACGCCACCAGCATACCGGGAAGGTTGTCATCTTTAGCCAGGAGTCCAGGCAATGGAGGCCCAAGTCTGAAGTCAGCGGGACACAGGTTGGTGTGGAAGAAGCCAGAGTGGAGTTTGAGAGTGGGCAGTGTGGTCATGCTGGAGAAGGAAGAGATGGAGGGGCTTTGGGCCCCACAGGGGAGGCTGTGGTACTGGGAGACAGGCAGAGGGGCATCTGTAAGATGACTCCAGGCTCGGCCCACCAGATCGGCTCCTACTTTGGGGCCTCCCTCTGCTCTGTGGACATGGATGGAGATGGCAGCACTGACCTGGTCCTGGTCGGGGCCCCCCATTACTACGGGCAGGCCCGAGGGGGGCAGGTATCTGTGTGCCCCATGCCCAGTGGGGTAAGTGGTGAAGGGTCCTGGCTGGTGGTCTGTGGGTATGGGTGGAGGGCTGCCCAGGGCAGATCTGACACTGACTTTGCTCTGCAGAGAATCAGGTGGCAGTGTGAGGCCACTCTGCATGGGGAGCAGGGCCATCCTTGGGGCCGCTTTGGGGCGGCCCTGACAGTGCTAGGGGACGTGAATGGGGACAATGTGACAGATGTGGCCATCGGTGCACCTGGAGAGGAAGAGAACAGAGGTGCTGTGTATGTATTTCATGGAGCCTCAAAACTGGACATCAGCCCCTCGCCCAGCCAGGTGAGGCCCAATCACCGTCCCCCAAGACTGCAAGGGCTTCCTCTTTGTCGCTCTTATCTTTCACTCAGATTCCCTTCCATGACTTCATTTATTTCTTGGATAAGCGCTGAGCATTTTGCAGCAGATAAAACCCATGCAACTGAGACATGGAAAGGCTGACTAACGCATTCCCTGCTTTGTCTTGAGACTTCATACTTGAATAGTTTCTAAACGATACCTATGTTAGGTACATGGCACAGTAGGAAGCCTCTTTCATAACTGTGACGTAGTAAGTATGAGGGTCAGTGTAAACGGGGGGTTCTGGTCTCGTGACTCTATACTCAGCCTCTCAGTACCCCAGCCCCCCCCCCCCCAGCTCACCAGCTTTAGGTCTAGCCTCCTCACTATGTTAGCTTTCTCATCCTTTCATCTCTTTGAATGGTGCTTAATTTTTTTCCATTCCTATAGTCAGGTGCCCAGCTGGGGAGGAGCACTCCCCACAGTGGAACAGGGTTTCCTGAGAAGTGAAGGCTGCTCTCCTCAGCAAATGTCAAAGCAGTCAAATAGGCAGACACCTGGGCAGACATTTCTTCACATAAGATTAACAAAAGCCAACAAACTCAGGGAAAGTTGATGTTGACCACGAGGTATCAACAAATCGCACTGTGAAGTGTAACCTCCCTTACCAGCACAGCTGGAATCGCAGGGCCATTAATCATCAGGGCATGGTTCATGGAGCACCCCTAGGCACTGCCAGCAGAAGTGTGAAAATGGTATGGCTATTTTGAAGCAATGTGTTAATTTCTCAGAAGATTAATTATAGAGTTGCCACATGACCAGACAATTCTAGCACCAGAGAAGGGAACACATGCCCTCACAAAACGCCATAGAATGCTCCTTGCAGCACATTATTCATAATTAATAGCTAAAAGCTAGAAGCAATCCATACGGCCATCTACTTTTAGCAGATAAACTAGACATTTATCCATGCAATGGCATATGACTCCATTATGAGCTGGTACAGGCTATGTGGATGAACTTTGAAATCCTATGATAAGCAAAAGAAACCAGTTAAAACAGGTCATAAGTTGTATAGTTACATTTATATAAAGTGTCTCTAATGGGCAAATCTATAGAAACAGCAAGTAGATTACTGGTTGCCTAGGTTTGGGTGTAAGGGGAAATGACAGTCATGGGGTGACTGTTAACAGGTGTCACATCTCTTTTTGGGGGTGATAAAGTGTTCTAAAATTAATTGTGGAAAGGTTTTCACAACTCTGAACATTCAGAAGCTATGGAGCTGTGCTTTGAACTGTCTGGTGCGTGAGTATTTTAAAAGGTGCTGTGCCATCTTCCAGAACAGCACAGGGAAGAGCCTTGTAGCTGTGCCAGCATTTAGGAGTGCTAAGAGACTAGTAAGACCTCTCTGTCCTTCCCCCTCCTTCTTCCCTCCTGGCTAACCATTTTGTGAGCAGCTCTTCCCTTCCACACTTTCCCTGTGTAAGGAGCCGAAACCTGTGAGCCCAAATAAACTTTTTCTCCTTTTAGTTGTTTAGTCAGGGATTTTGTCACTATGACAAGAAAGGAGACCAACACCTGTTTGTGTTCATCTGATAGAATGAACCGGCCATACCTGTTTCCACCTAGTACTCAGACTCATGTCAGGCCAGTGCAAGCTGCTGCTGTCATAATTGTTAATACAGTTTCACAGCTGAAGGGGATCTCAAGAAGGGTGTGGCTCCGGAAGAATAACTGAAAGTACATCCAGTTCACACCAGTTCACAACTTCTCTTTCCCAAAATGACTTACACGTTTACATCCGATTACAAAGGTCACTTTCTGGATTCACTGACCCACAGTGATTTTTTTTTCCCTTCTCATTCCACACGCACCTCACTGGAAAGGTTGCCTTATCCTCCACAGGCTCATATACCAGCCCTGAGCCTTGCTGAATGGGAGGACCCTAGTGCTGGTTACCACGCCTATTCTACTCGGGTTCCCTTAGTAACTGGCATTTTTTGCTTTTCAGTTTTATTCTTATCACTAGTACCCTTAGTCTCCACAGTGTCAGAGACAAAACCCCATGCTTTCTGAGGGATTAGGTACTTCAAGAATGATGGAAATAAAAGAGAAGAAGGCCACAGGAGAGGTGATGACAATGGGGGAAAATCTGGGTCAGCTGCAGCCACTTCCCTACCCCAACTTTGTGCCTCTTTGTCCTTTGAAAATACAGCAGAGAAGGTGATAGGTTTGAGACAGAGATTCTGTCTTAGGCTGGAGTCAGACTCAGAAGTCTGTGTGACTCTCACACAATGTCCCAACTTTCTGTTTTGTTTGTGAAATGGGATAGAGGACTAGATGAGTCCTGAAGTACTTTTTATTTCATTTTTGTAGTGCATGGGGGTGACGTTAGGTATGTGTGTGGGGGCCCATGCATGTGAGTGCAGAAGCCAGAAGAAGACATTAGATGTCTTTATTATTCTCCACTGTATTCCCTTGAGACAGGGTCTCTCATTAAACCTGAAGCTTGAAGTTTCAGCTAGGCTAGCTGGCCAAGTAACTCCCAGAATCTCCCTGTCTATGCTCCCCAGTACTGGGGTTACAGGCACACACAACTATGATGGGCCTTTTCCTGTGTGCGAAGGATTTGAACTCAGATCTTCATGCTTGAACAGCAAGCACTCTTACAACTTTTCCCCAGTTTCTGAGACCCCATTCCGCCTTATCATTCATCATAATAATGTTGACTGCTGAGCACACCACATGTACTGTTCTAATAACCATATATTCTCTGTGTGTGTGAAAGATGAGGGAACTGAGGCACAGAAGGATTGAGCCCTGGCTCATGAAAGAGCCAAGGGGAGTCAGGGACTAATTAAATCACCCCCCAAAAGAATGTACCTCAGGTCCCAGGCCAGCTTTCCGTCTCTGAGCCCTCGGGACCCCAGCCGCTGTTTCCCAGCCTCTCCTCTTCCTTTCAGACGTTTTCTTTATGACTTCTTCTCACTGCTTGCCCTTCCTTCCTCTCACATTCTTACCTCACTCTTTCTCATGTTGTTTTAAAAATATTTTTCTCTTGTGTGTGGGTGTATTGCCATCATAACAGATGGTGGGAGTGTGTGTAAGGAGGAGACATAAGCATGGCAAGATAGCAAGCCAGGGAGAGCGGAGAAGGTTCGCGGAGAAGGCTCGGCTTGTTTTGACACAGGGTATCCCCGTGTAGCCCAGACTGGTCTTAAACTAGAGATCTGTCTGTTTTGTGCCTTCCAAGTGCTGGGACTGCAGTCATACGTCTTCATGCCTAGTCAAGGGAGAAGTCTTCCTCTTTTACTGTAGTTCTAGGAACTAAATGACTTGTATAACTATGAGTTAATCTCTTAAATAGCTCATTAGAGTTTCTCTTGCTGTGATAAAATACCATGACCAAAACCAACAGAGGGGTCAGGGGGTGGGGTGGGGGGATTTATTCAGCTTGCAGTTTCAAATCACAGTCCCTCACTGAGGGAAGTCAGGGCAAGAACTCAAAGAGGGCAGGAACTGATACAGAGGCCCTGGAGGGGTGCTGCTAACTGGCTTGCTCTATCTCCTGACTATTGAGGGTCCAGCCCCCAGTCAGCACCAGGGCATGCAAAGAAAATCCACAAGTGAGGTGATAATTTAGGAAGAGTTCTTATCTAATAGTTAGATATTTTTTATGTGATGGGGAAAAAATAGGCACATACACTTTCTGATGGTAACTTTCTCTTTATTCCATCTAGAAAAAAATCATCTCTGAAAAAAGCTCTCTTTGCTCTCTTCCCAATGCTCTGTCCAACAACTTCTACCTAATTGGTTCCACATCTTTCTCTCTGCATCTCAGATGCTGCCCTGCTGTCTCTGCCCTTTGATCTCTGCCTCCCTACATCACTGTCCTGTTCTCTCGCTTTCTTCTACTCTTCTTCGATGGACAATTGTAAGTTATTTTTCAGGGCTCGATCCATATTCAAAACCATAAGTTAAGTCATGTAGTTTCTCTCAGGCTATGAATGTCACATTGACCCATGCACATAGCTCTAAGTTGGTGAGGGTTTCCAGACAGAAAACGACATCAGAAATCAAGACTTAATAATAACAATTAGTTAGCTGGACCTCAAGTGGTAGGGAGTCTGTGCAGACGAAAGTTGCTTCATGCTGTGGCTTTGAATCAGTAAAACAACATCTGGGAGAATGATCGTGTACATTTGTCTTTAGAAGCAACCAGATATTGTCTCTAGGTGCAATCAGCCTGCTTAAAAATCTGCTGAGGTCTTGGCTAAATCTATAAAAGGCCAACTTTGTAGCTGAGAATTCTCCTATGTCCATCTGAATTATGAAAAATATCCTAATATTATTTCCATCCATCAGTGTTATATAATGCAAACAGAATCATCCTCTAGATCACCCATTGCTGTATGTGTGCCCAATAGATGGACCATATACATGAGATAAACACACAAGCAATGGGAATACACCCAAAACTGTTAATTGGGAAGAAATGAAGTGACTCATGAAAGAAATTACAGACAGGAACAACTGGTTGTTTCCACAGCCCCCATGGCTTTGCCAGGTGGGGCTCCCCACCAGGCATGTCTGATGGGTTGGCTTGTTAAACACTAATTGTCACCTGCTGTATACTCCCATGGCAGATCTCTACATTGCTCTTCATGGCTTGCCCAGCCTACTCAGGATCATCAGGTCTGGGGGTAGCACTGCCTACATTGTGCTGACTTCCAATCCATCATCAATCGAGAAAATGCACTACAGACTTGTAAATGGGCCAATTATATGGGGGCATTTTCTCTAAATTTCCTTCTTCCTGTATGACTTTATCTTGCGTCAATTTGGCATAAAAACTGGTCAACATCAGGGCAAGGTCCTCAATAATGCATTTCCACTAAACTCCTTGGAAAGGTTCAACAAAGCCCGTCACATGCAGTTAGGAAAGGAGCAGCAGCTAACCCATTGCATCCCTTCATGTAGTCTGATTTGTCTCTTCTTCTGGATAGAGGATTTCAGGATCCCAGCTTTTCTCCAGGCTCCAATATTTTGGGCAGTCACTGAATGGGGGTCAGGATCTCACCCGGGATGGACTGGTGGACCTGGCCGTGGGGTCCAAGGGACACGTGCTGCTGCTCAGGTGGGAACAGCTTTCCTCAGACACTCCCCATCCATCCTAGACTAGGACCCTCCTTCCTAACTGGAGGTTGAGGTCCCAGTGGTCAAGAGGCTCTCCTCAGCTCAGTGTTCTGCCAACAGGTCCAGACCGATTCTTCGAATGTCATCGACTATAGGCTTCAAACCTACAGAGATCGCCAGGTCTGTGTTTGAGTGTGAGGAGCAAGTGGCCCCTGTCCAGTCACTGGGTGATGCCATTGTCTGCCTTAATATTTATGAAAGTTCCCGGACCCAACTAGGTGAGTCCCTTCTCTTTGACCCTGACTTTTGGAAGCCTCCAATCCAGGATTTCTGTCTGATGACTTGCTCCTTGCCTACATGAGTAATTTCTGGGCCTCTCAATCTCCCTTTGTTCTGTGTTCCCTTACAGGTGACCTCCGAAGCTCTGTCACCTTTGACTTGGCCCTAGACCCTGGCCGCCTGAGTCCCCGTGCCATCTTTGAGGAAACAAAGACCCAGGCTCTAACCCGAGTTAAAACCCTTGGTCTGAGCAAGGACTGTGAAACTGTGAAGTTGCTTCTCCCAGTGAGACGACTGTAGATGGATTATGGGAATTGCTGTGGATAGAGGCCTTTTAGGGACTGGAAGGAGGTTCAGCAGAGAAAGAACACAGCATGCTGTGATCTGCCCAGGATCTGGTCTGCAGACAATAGTTAATACCTGTTAGCTAAATAAGCAAATGAACAACTATGGCCAGTTGTAGCCAACAGAGGCCACCTAGATGGATTTTAAGGAGGAGAACAGGGTTGCCTGGGAAAGCTGTGTGGCCTCAGGCTGACTCATACAGGCATTTATTGACCACATACTATGGCTGTCCCTTGACACATGCCCATAGCAAGGGACAAAACAGTCATTGCCCATAGGGAGTTCCCCAGTGGTGATGGGGACCACAGACAAATTTCTAGATAGTGAATATCAGGTAGGGATAAATGATACACAGAGAGAAAACCAGAGAAGAGAACAGGGTGGTCTTATGAGGACCCATTGAATAGATTGGGAGAGCTGTATGGGGGGTGGTGGAGCTTATTGACCATAGATGGGATTGCTCTAGCCCCCCTTACACATGCAGAGATGGGGTATAGTGCAAGGGACCTTCTTTAAAACGAGCCTTCAAACATCTCTTTTCTAGGCCTGTGTGGAAGACTCAGTGACCCCTATCACGTTGCGCCTCAACTTCTCTCTTGTTGGAATGCCCATCCCTTCCCACCAAAACCTTCAACCCATGCTGGCTGTAGATGAGCAAACGTACTTCACGGCCTCTGTGAGTCAGATATTTATGGTTGGGGCTCAAGGGGAACACCAAAGCAGGCTGTCTTTTTGAGTAAGATATTTATTAGAAGAGCTATTAATAGCATGGGCAGATCTCAGTGTGGTGGGGTCTCTGAGGAGACTTTGGGACCACAAGGCAGAGTGGGGACCCCCCTTTTTATAAAAAAATATTTTAAAATTTAATTTGTGTGCATTGGTGTTTTTTGCCTTCATATATGTCTGTGTGAGGGTGTCAGATCCTCTGGAACTGGAGTCACAGACAGTTGTGGTCTGCCATGTGGGAGCTGGGAATCAAACCCAGGTTCTCTGGAAAAGCAGTCAGTGCTCTTAATCACTGAACATCTCTCCAGTCCCATGGGGCTCCTTCTTATTGGTCTTAGAGAGTGGCAAGGTTTTATGCCATGTGGTTGATGAGTAGTTTACATCACAGGCCTGCAGCCAGGCTGTGCCTGATTCTGGGCAGCAAGAGGAGGACATTTGGGATCCTGCATTATGGGAGAAGAAATGTATAATAGCAAGAATGTGAGAGGTGTGTTCATGACATGGTAGTACTCTGATGCCTGGAGTTTGGCAGCCTGAACCTGGGAACTTCCTTGGGGGAAGTAAGAATGGTACCTGCCATTTTCCTGAAGCCTGAAGCCTGATCTGTTAGGGAACTGCAGCCTCCCAGAGAGGCTCTTGGCAGGGAGCTTGCCATTTCCTTTGCTCTGGCTGTTCTCAAGAGGCTGGTACATGTGGGCATGGCTTGAGCTGCCTGTAGTCCCAGACCTAATTCCTATGTCCCCTCCCCCTTCTCAGCTTCCCTTTGAGAAGAACTGTGGAGCTGATCACATCTGCCAGGATGACCTTGGCATCAACTTTGGCTTCCCAAAGTGAGTTTTCACCCCTTACATCTTCCCTGGAGCCCAGCCTCCCCCCCCCCCCCCGCAGGATCTGGGGTTCAGAACCCAGGCATCTCCAGTCTATCTTTTGCCTTGTTACTTTGAATTCCATTCCCCAGACCATTCCTAGCCCTGGCCACAGAATCATCTCCCCTTCCCTCTTGACATCCAGCTTGAAGACTCTGGTGGTGGGAAGTGATCTGGAGCTGAATGTGGATGTGACAGTGTCTAACGACGGGGAAGATTCCTATGGGACCACAGTCACTTTGTCATACCCAGTGGGTCTGTCCTTCAGACGAGTGGCAGAAGGCCGAGTTCTCCTTCGGGGGAGGGAAGAGGTGAGTGGGCTGTGTAGTAGGTTCAAAGCTCAGGCTGGGTGACCCTTGCTGAGCAGTCTGCTGGGTCTAGAGATCTTCGCTGGCCCTGGTTGGATGGTGGGTTTGTACTGCCTGGGCTTTGTACTTCTGGAGTCATATTTTGAAGATACTGAATATAAGAAGGAAGTGCCAGGGCCAGTGAGATGGCTCTGCAGGTAAGGGTACTTGCCACCAAGCCTGATGACCCAGAACCCCCACGGGAAAGAAGAGAACTGATACCTGGGAGATGTCGTGGACTCCTAGCCTCTGACTCCCTAACACGACTCCTGGGCTTGGAAACCAGGCATACTGTCCCCTGCCTGTGTGAGTGTACTATTTGTTTTCCTCCTTCCTTCCTTCCTTCCTTCCTTCCTTCCTTCCTTCCTTCCTTCCTCCTTCCTTCCTTCCTTCCTTTCCCCTGAGAGAGAGGTTTTCTGGCCTAACATTCAATATATAGTTCAGATTTGTCTTGAGTTCATGATCCTCCTGCCTCATCCTTTAAAGTGCTAGGAATATAGGCACACACTATCAAACTGGGAAAATACTTAAAAATATTGTTTAAAAAAAATAACGTATTGGCTACTGTGGCTTGGGGCTTGCCAGAAGATTTTCTGTGGAGGCTCAACAGACCATATTGTTTCTATAGCAGATTCTCAGCTCCACCTTTTACAACAGTAGCAGGCACTGACATGAATCTACACAAGTGTGCATAGTAAATCTTTGTTTATAAAAGTAGGTGGCAGGTCACTCTGTGTTCTAGAAGACAGAACTGGGACCATAAAGAGTTTTAAAGAAACAGATTTGTTTGTTTTGGTTTTTGAGATAGGGTTTCTCTGAATAACCCTGGCTATCCCAGAACTCACTCTGTAGACCAGGCTGGTCTTGAACTTGCGGAGATCCACCTGCCTCTCGAATGCTGGGATTAAAGAAAGGCATGCCACTACCTCCTGGTGAAATGTACTTTTTCAAAAACTTAATTGTTAAGACAATTTTAAACTTTTACTGAAGTGGTCAGAGTTAAACTAAGTGTCTTAAAAGCACCTTCAACAAGCAACAACAGCGAACAACATGTTGACCCATTTACTTCTTCTGTTTTTCTGTCTCACAGAGCAAATGTTTCATTTAACCCAAGTTGGCTTCAAATTCAAGTAGCCAAGGCTTGCCTTGAACTCCTAATCCTCCTGCCTTAACTTTCTAGTGCTGGGAGCACAGGTGTATACCACCACACCTGGCTTGGCCTTTATTTGCTGAAATATTTTCACACAAGTATTAGACATTGGGCCATAGCTTCCTTTTCATTTTACTCTGGAGGTCTGAGTAGCAGCAATGTCTTAGGTGACCCCAAAGTTATCATGCCATTCGATGAAATGAATGAGTCTTGGTGTTTAGAGCATAGTCAAATTCCCCTAGTTCTCCCCCAAATATCTTTTTATACCTAGTTTATTTGAACAGGGAGTTTAAAGTGGGCTCATCTATTTGCTTTGTGTGTCTGCCGTATCTCTTGACATCCCTTTGTGGGAGTACATTTTAATTACTTATGAAAAATGACACAGGAAAAGCAATTCCCAGAGTGTGAGCAGCGGCATCCCAGTGTGGTACACGGCTCTTTGATGGATGTTTATTTAACAAGTAAGCAGTTTAAAAATAAAATGGTTAAGAGACAACCCAGGAAAATGGAAGGCGACTGCTGATTTGGGTTTTTGTTAGTTCTGTTGTGTATGATTTGTTAGGTCTTGTAGTTATATTAAAAAATAGCCTTGTTGGTTTTGAGTAGACATTTGAGTAGACATTGAAATGTATTGAGATAAAATAATATGATGTGTAGGAAGTTCTTTAATTTATTAAGAAAAGAAAAAGTGGAGAATAACCTAAGGGTGGGGCGGGAACAATAGGAAAACATTGGTAACATCTGCTGAGTGATGGGAACTCGCTCTACTTTGAGTGTGTTTGGAACTATCCACAATAAAAAGCCTTTAATAGCAACACGAATCTGGGCATGCTGACTCACGCCTGTAACCCTAACACTTAGAGACTGAGGCAGGAGGATCACCATGAGTTTGAGGCTAGGTTGGGCTGTCTAGTGAGTTCCAGAACTGCCTGGGCTACAAAACAATAGCAACAAGAAGAGCAAAAAACCCAAGAAAAAGCGAAGGATGGGGGTTCTAGTGACTGGTGCTTTCTGTACTATATAGGAAGTTTGACCAGATGTGGATCCACAAGCACTAAGATTTCCAGGGATGCGTGTGCTTGAATCCCAGCATCTCTCCAGAACACTAATAAACACCCATCTCCCGAACACTTTTGGCCTTGTTTTTAACCAGAACCAACGACGGCAGCACTCCCTGCACCTCACATGTGACAGCACCCCAAGCAGGAACCAGGGCTTCTGGAGGACCAGTTGCAGCATCAGCCATGTCATTTTCCGTGGAGGCGCACGGGTTAGTCTGGCTTCCACCTACCCCATCCTCTGTCTCCATCCCGACTCACTCCGTGATTTCTTCGTTTTCTTCTTCAGATGACTTTCTTGGTGACTTTTGATGTCTCCCCCAAAGCTGTGCTGGGGGACCGGCTGTTTCTAACTGCCAGAGTGAGCAGGTAAGCTGGCCAGGCCTGGGGGTGGGGGTGGGTGTCCTTCTCGTTCTGATCCTTGCACCCCATACTACTCCTCTGTCCCCAGTGAGAACGACACACCTGGGAACCGAAAAACCACCTTCCAGCTGGCGCTCCCAGTAAAGTATGCCGTGTACACCGTGATCAGCAGGTACACTCCCTAGGACCTCAGAGTGGTTCTTCTTTACTTGGAAGTAGGATATGCAAGACTTATCACTCTCACCTGTGATATTCAGGTTTTATTGTCCTTTTTTCAGTGGGGGATGACACAGATAGCTGTTCATATTCATTGGTGGATGCTTGTTATGGGCTGGTTATGACAATAATTGTGAAGTCTTTATCGTTACAGCATATATTTAATGCAGGTTACAGGTCTCAAAAGGCTTTGAAAATCCACAAAATTTTCTTAGGTTCTCTAGGATATATGAAATACACCCTCGTCTTTGAGTAACACAAGATTATTTTACCTAAGTCAAAATCTCACCAACTGCTGTTCTTCGGTTCTGAACCTGGGTAACATGGCATGCCAATCAGCTTCCATCACTACAAGAATCTGAAGTCACCTATAAATGGAAAAGGTTTATTTTAGCTTACAGTTTGGAGGCTTTAGTCCATGGCTCATTGGCCTGATGCTTTGGGGCTGTGGTGATGTATCATGGTGGGAGTTCTCATTTCAGGCAAGGGGCCACAGAGAATGCAGAGGAAGGAGTTGTGGTGTTATCGTCTCCATTGGAGAACGCCCATACTGACCTAGGAACTTCCCTGTAGCTCCCATTCTGCAACTGCCTCCTGACTCTGCCACTCAGAGTACAAAGCCTAAATTAGGGAATGGGGAGGGTGGGCATCAATATGAAACTGTAGCAGTGTGTTACCAAAAGGGGAGTAAGAGAGGGCTCATCTGAACATTGGTGGGTCTATGGCACTGGTCTTGACCAAAGTGATCTCAAAAGGGCCTTTGGTATCTGTGCAAGGCTGTTCTTTTTCATAGGAAACAGACAAATACCACAGGGCAGGTTCTTTACAGGGGTCACTTATCAGATATTCTGAATATCAGATATTTACATTATGATTCATGACAATAGCAAACAAGATCATTCTATGGTTGGGGGGGGGGTCACCACAACATGAGGAACTGTATTAAAGAATCACAGCATTAGGAAGGTTGAGAATCACAGCCATAGAATTTTGAACCTTCTCCTTCCCCCATTTTGTAGAAAATAGGAACAAAACACATGCCTGCTGAGGATGGGTCTTGGATGGGTATTAGAGAAGCAGGGTAGGGGGTAGGGTCTTAGCTAGAACTAAGAAGGATGGGAAGAGTATTGAGACTAGGAAATAGAGGTTGTTCAGCAGATGCCTTCTTAGTGTCTGCTCTACTATGGGCAGGCACAGCATGGCTACTTTCTATGAATTCATTTGACAGGAATAAACATTTATTGAGCTCCTACTCTCACAGAACCCACCTAATCTGAGGGTCTCTTCTTGCACAGCATTTCACACTTTCATTACCCTGCATGTCTGGTGTTCTTCAGACAGCAAGATGCATGCGCTAAGTGCATATACACAGGGGTTCTCATGGCACCTTGCAGGGAGCCACAGATAGGGCATAGCACCTGTAGACTTAGGTGGTCCTATAGGTCAGTCACACTCAGAGGGGTCCACAGGGCAGTTTGGAGCTTTTGGGAGGAGTCTTTTGAGTAGAGGAGAAATGAAATTTAAGAGAGTTGCCATTGGGCGAAGCCTGGAGAAGTGATAGAACAGATTGTGACCTCTACCGAGTACATCCAGGTCACCCTCAGAGAAAGAATTCAGACCTGAGACCATAAGGGAGAGTTACTACAGAGCAAACATGCACATTTGACAGGGAGTGCAAGCTTCTTGTGAAAGAGTGGTGTTGCTGAGGATTCTGGAGAGCTTGTCTAGTTGGCCAACTGCACTAGAGAAAATCTTCTTCATAGGGCTTACTCATTTTGTCTATCCTTACATGGGGCTGTCTTCAGATGCATGATGGGAACAGCTAGTCTTGCATGCCAATGGCATGGAGATGCCATTGTAATGAAGAAAAGTTGGGTATTATCCCTTCAGTCAGCCATGTAAGTCCTAGTTGGCTTGGGATGGGCTTGTCTACTGTTTGAGTGGGCACATGGGGCCACGGGGTAGTGTAGCTCTGCAGTCATATCAGTCTCAAGTAACATGAAGAGTGCCTTCCTCTGTGCCTCGCTAGCTTGCCTTGGGAGTAGGAGTGGTGGGCTAGAATTTAGGGTATAGAGGCAAAGGCCAGGTACCTGAGGGATAGAGTGGTAAGGGACAGAGGTAGAATCAGCAGGTATGTGAGGGACCTTGTGGTCACTGCACTTCAGGCTTGGACCCAAGAAGGTCTCATGAGGTTTGTTACATTGAGACCTATGGATAAGTTTGTCATTGGCTCCTTCGAAGCTCCATGGTGATAAAAGGCAAGGAAACAGAAGGGGCGGGGCTCGGAGTCAAGAATGAACAGGTCAGCGAAATTTGCTGTATCCTGCAACGTCCTCGAAGAACTGAAATGAAAGCTGAGGTGTAGAAATGGGGCAGGCGGTGGCCCCTGCTCCCCAGTGAGTCAGTGGAGTGGCTCTTAAGTCTTTCCCTACACCTCAAGCTGATCTTTCCCCAGCCATCTCCTCTGGGTGGCCCCTGCGAGCTCTTTATACTCATGCTGAAGGCAGCCCCACTCCCAAACCTTCCTTATTCCAACCCTGCCACAGACCTCCTTTTGTGCTACCCCAAGGATGACTTGTGTCATCATGCTAGTGCCAGGAGGCCAGGGTGGGACTTCATGACTCTTCTCTCTCCAGCCATGACCAGTCTACCAAGTATCTCAACTTCTCGGCCTCAGAAAAGGAGAGCAGTGTGGTGGAGCATAGATACCAGGCAAGTGTGGGGACTTAGGAGCTAGGGAACTGGTAAGCAGGGACAGAGGAGCTGGGCGTAGCCTCTACCCTCGGCGCCTTCTGTGCAGGTGAATAATCTGGGGCAGAGGGACATTCCAGTCAGCATCAACTTTTGGGTGCCTACAGAGCTGAAGGGAGAAGCTGTGTGGACTGTGGTGGTCTCCCAACTCCAGGTATTCAAAACCAGCTATGGCTCCTCAGCTGATGCCCTCGGCTTCTATCACCTGTGTCACTTACGAATCCCTGATGCAGCAGCCAAAGCACTGTTTTCTGCTTGCCTTCTAGAACCTGCCCACCCAGTGCTATCAGAAGAGACTAGTGCCAACACAATCAGACCTCCTGGCCCACATGCAGAGGAGCCCTGAGCTGGTGAGGAACACTGGGGTGTTTCAGCACCTTACGCCACACATCACAAGGCTTGAGTTCGCTTTCTGGATGTCAAGTGGCACCTGCTGAACATGCTCCTGTCTCCCACCCTCAGACTTACCTCCCTCTGGTCTGATATTATCTTCCCGGCCCCAGGACTGCTCCATTGCTGACTGTCTGCACTTCCGCTGTGACATCCCCTCCTTGGGCATCCAGGACGAGCTTGACTTCATCCTGAAGGGCAACCTCAGCTTCAGCTGGGTCAGTCAGGTGCGTGGCCAGTAGCAGAGGTCCTCCCATGGCCCCTGGTCCCGTGGGTCTGGAGCATCCTTGGGTCAGGGCAGTTCTTGAACCCTGAGCTCCTCCCAGGTCCAACTCTCAGCCCTCTCTTTTGCAGACTTTGCAGAAAAAGGTGGTGGTCATGAGTGTGGCAGAGATCACATTCAACACTTCTGTGTATTCCCAGCTGCCGGGGCAGGAGGCATTTCTGAGAGCTCAGGTAGTGACTGTGTGGCAGGCTGTGGCCAGGCTGGTGAGATGGCTGCTGATGCTCAGTGTGCAGTGCTGGCTGGGGGGGGGGTGAAGCCTGGGGGGGGGAGGACGAATGGAGGTCTTCTATATTTCACCCTTGCAACAGAGCCTGGGCAAGGAGGAGAGGGAGTTACAGGGTAGGATCCTGGGGACAGTGTGTGGTAGCATGAGATATGATGCTTTCCAATGGGTCCATCCCCACCAGACGAAGACAGTGCTGGAGATGTACGAAGTTCACAACCCTGTCCCTCTCATAGTGGGCAGCTCGGTGGGAGGTCTGCTGCTGCTGGCTCTCATCACAGCTGCACTGTACAAGGTGAGTGATTGGCCCTCCTACAGCAAGACTTGATGCTGCTCCTGCTACAGGGTAAGCAAGAGCTCATGCTGTGCACGTCATGTGAGAAACCCCTCTACCTAGTTGTCTCTCCTTTGTGCCCTCCTGTCTCAGATCCTCTCTCCTCCCTCTCCTTTTCTTCCCCACTCTCCTCCACTTCTCTTTACGTTTCCCTTTGCAGAAGAATAGAATGTAAGCCCGGACATGGACTTGAACGTTGACACAAGCACCAGGGCTGGGCAGGTCTTGGTCTCTTTCTTTTTCTTTGTAAATATATACTTATTATTTTTTCTTATTTTACATATCGATTCCAGTTCCCTCTCCCTTCCTCCCCTCCTATCCACAGGGAGGGCGAGGCCTTCTAGGAGGGATCATCAAACTCTGTCAAGTCAGTTGGAGTAGGGTCTAGGCCCTCCCTCCTGCCTGTGGTCTTTCTCAGTGTAAGGGTGATTTAAGCCACATCTAAATGATACAATATGTACCAGGTTATTTGAAAGTACTAGGGGCTTCAGAAATGGTTGCCCTTCCTCTCCTTTATATTTCCTATCTTTTTTGCATGTGTGTACGTGTGTGTGTGTGTGTGTGCACGCACGCACGTGCATGTGTATGTATGGATGCATATGTAGACACACATGAGTTTGTGGGTGCACACACATATATGTGCATGTGTTCATATGAAGGCTAGTCGTAGACGTTGAGTATCTGTCTCCATTGCTCTCTACCTTGTACACTGAAGCAGAGCCTCTTATTTGATTAATTTGCTTCAGGGATTCCCAGTCTCCACCTCCTGGGTTTGGGGATTACAGGCAGGGCACCATGCCTTTGTGCGGGTACTGGGGATCTGAACTCCAGTTCTCACACTTGCCAGCAAGTGTTTTACATACTGAACTCCTTAGCTCCTCTCTTCCTTCTTCCGTTCACTTCTTCATCCTGATTTTCTTCTTCCCTTCTGCAGGCTGGTTTCTTTAAACGTCAATACAAGGAAATGATGGAGGAGGAAGCTAATGGACAGATTGTCTCAGAAAATGGGGCAGCAGACCCCCAAGTTTCCCAGTGAGAACTTATCTCCTTGTCTTCTTTGAACTTGCCCTCCTGAGAGCTTTGCCAGATCTTGTGCTCAAGGGCAAAGAAACATTCTGCACCAGGAATGCTGGGACCAAGCCAACTTTGCTCTTTGTGTCTTGTTTGGGAAGGGACATTTGTCTGGTCAAAACTTTACTGGGAAACTCGGAGGACCCGTTCTCTGCTATGGCCCAGATAACATGACCAGGAACTTCTACCTAGGAATACATGGGGCATTCAGTGGCTCCCTTCTCCCTTTGACCACTAATGAGCTTTCTACGAAGAAGAGTGGACATAGTCATTCACCTTTGTGTATTTCCAATTCTTCCCATCTACTTCCAGGGTGTTAGAGTTGAGTTCTGTCTCCAGGAGGCGAGCTTCAGACAGCCTGGGATGCTCTGTGCTTCCACGCCATCCTCATTTCTAGTAAAATATTGTTTCTTTGAGACTTTTAACCCGGTTTTTCTGAATTGGCAAGGAAACATCTGTGCAATGTAGCCGATGGAACTTGCTTCTAGTGCCACTGTTGTTAGCTGGGAAGAACAGTGACCTGTCTTCTCAGGAGGGACATTGCTCCTCTACAGTGCCAGGTTGAAAGAGGCCTATGCCACTTGCTGTGTGACTTTTCCTAGGAAAACATAAGCAGACTGTTTACCCAAGGTAGAGCACTAACAAAAGACCAAACTACTTCACCCAATCTTGTCTAGCAAACAAATAAGGAGCTCGAAGCTCAGTTCCAGCTTGGTTTTCACATATCTTATAGCCAACGTATGGCAGCTTCAGCAGTAGGAAATTGCAATCAACAGCAGTGTTAAAAGATTTTTTTTTTTTTTTTTTTATGGCTTTGATCCATCACAGACCTCTTTGACTAATCATAGGGAAGTAACCCACCTTACGGCTCCTAAGAATGCGTTTTCCCACAAATGCAGTGTGCCTTCATTCAAACTCTTTAACTGCTACTTTCAGATTCTTCCCTAAGTCTAAAGGCATTGAGGATTAGCATTATATCATAAAGCATTTCCCCTGGTTTCCCCTCTGTCTTTGCAGTGAGTGGTTGTTAATGTAGATTCATGGCCAGTTTCGGTGCTAAGACCAGGAGACTGGTGAGTGCTCAGCATTAAACAGGACACTCACATCTCCCTTTCTGGGCTCAGAGAATATCACAGAAAGAGTGGCAAGAATGTAAGATCTGAGTGATAGGAGGAGGGTTGTGAAATGCTGCCTTGTGGTGTTTATGAACACTTGCAATTATCTACATAGGGCCGCTACAAAACTGAGCTAGTAAATATTCAGTCACAGAGAAGGGGTCCTGCCCTGTCTAGGGGAACACTCAGAGCACTCAAGGGTTGCTGGATGAGAGGTTATTGTCTTCAGTGATGTTTTCATGTTTCAGTGGCTAACCCTATACTCATACCCATGTGCTTGAAACCAGTGAGTCACAACACAAAACCAAAAAGCAAAGCAAAATATATAAAAATAGTATAGGACTTGTGGAATTAGTGGATTGGTTGGGGTGGGAAGAGAATAAAAGAGGGAGAAGAGGTGGATATGATCATGATATAGCCTCTCACTTACCATCACACATATCCACACTTGAAGGCCTAGCTCATGCAGCTTGCACACCAACTTTGCTTGCTGAATTCCCTGGACTTTTATCTGCTCTTGTGACATCTCTACACTTGCAAGCATAAGTCCAATCAAGCAGCTCATGTCCTTGCTGTCCCAGACCATGACATAGTCATGCAGCTTCTATACCAGCCCAACCTAAGGCAGGCAAGAATCTCAGCCAGACATGAAATCCAAGAAAGAAGCCCACATGGCGAGGTGTCATGGCAACAACAGAAGCTGTAAGAAAGACAAGACAGTGTGTCCCCACTCAAACCCACTAGTCCTACAGAAATGTTCTCCGATGAAAATGACTCAGATGAACTCTAGGACACAGAATGTAAAAGAACAATCATGAGCATTATTAAATGATTTCAAGGGGGTTTTAAAGAAGGCACAAAACATTGAAATAACTTTTTAGTATTCTATCTGACCACAATGCGATGAACAAAACTATCTAGTAATTACCCAGACACATGGAGATTAAACAGCATATGCCTTAATGGTGAGTGGGTCAAAGAAGACATTATGAAAGGTTTCTATTTTTAAGTATATTTTTACTTATGTTTATATGCATATGTGTACCATATGTGTAGGTTCTAGAAGATGTCGTCGGATCCTCTGAAACTTGCATTATAGATGGTTATGGGCCACCTGACATGGATTGGAACTGAAATTGGATGAACTGGAAGATCAACAAGTACTTTTAACTGCTGAGACATCTCTCCAGTTCAGGAAAGACTTTTTTTTTCAATCCTGGAACAAAATAAGAATGAAAACACAGTATAACAAAATCTCTGAGATACATTAAAAGCAGTTTTTAGTGGGATATTTATAAAGTCAGACTCCTACATTAAAAAATTAGAGCAAGTACAAGTAAATGGCTTGATGCACCCCAAGGATTTGTAAAATAAAAGGGAGGGATTAGATAGATGACTCAGTGGCTAAAGAGTACTTGCTGCTCTTTCAGAGTTTTATTTTCAGTAACCAAACAACAGTTTACAACCATCAATAACTCAATTTTCAGGGACCTGATGCCCTTTTCTGGACTCTGAGGGCATAAGGCAGGTATGTGGTACACATATATTCATTCATGCAGGTAAAATACTCTTATTCAGAAAATAAAAGAATTTGGAAAGCAATAATAAACCAGATCCTAATTCAGTAGATCTTGGTGCAGACCCAGAATAGTCCTTTTCCACTGAACTCTTCAGCCTTCCCATCTAGCCATTTCTATTCTTTTGTGTCAGTGGCTGATTCCCTCAAACAGTTTCTACCAGCGACTGCAGTGGGTACAGCAGGCTGGGCCTCAGGTAGGAGATTCTCATTATCTTCCTTGCTCTACTGTAGTCTCTGTTTAGATTCACTGTTACTTCCGTAACAGCTTGCTTCCAGGAGCCCCTCCACCTACCCTAAACCCATTCACTGGGAAGTCCACCTCTTTGTGCCGACCTAGGGTCCTCCTAACTCTTTCATTCTGGTCTCTCCAAACTTGCTCTTGTATACTGAAGTCTGTTTGCAGGAGTCCCATCTCCCACCACACCTCCACTCGCTGAGAACTCTGCCCCTTGGTGTGGACCTATCTCCCTATCTCTTTCCTACAGCCTTCTTAACCTTTTCTCCTAGTCCACTGTTTTAGTTAGGATTTTTATTGCTGTGAAGAGAGACCATGACCATGACAGCTCTTTTTTTTTTTTTTCATTTGATTTTTTTTGTTTGTTTTTCTATATTGCTTTGGAGCCTGTCCTGTAACTAGCTCTGTAGACCAGGCTGGACTAGAAATCACAGAGATCCTCCCGTTTCTGCCTCCCGAGTGCTGGGATTAAAGGCGTGCACCATCAAGGCCCAGCTTTGGCAACTCTTATAAAAGAAAACATTTAATTGGGGTGTCTTACAGTTTTAGAAGTTTAATCCATTATCATCATGGCAGGACACGTTGCTATGCAGGCAGACATGGTGCTGGAGAAAGAGCTAAAAGTTCTACATCTTGATCCATAGACAACAGGAAGTGAACTGTGACACTGGGCATAGCTTGAGCATAGGAGACCTCAAAGCCCCCCCCCCACAGTGACACACTTCTTCCAACAAGGCCATACCTACTCCAACAGGCCACACCTCCTAATAGTGCCACTCCCTATGGGGGTCCTTTTCTTTCACACCACCACACCCACCCACCAATCTGCAGAGGCACTCTCTACCAGGGACACCACAGCACCACACTTGCTAAGAATCCAGACTGGGCAACACCAACCAAAGGACAAAGACAAGACCAGATATCAATATCAATAAACACCTCAAATACTATAATTCCAGATACCTAGACTGTTGGAAGCAGAAAGGTCCTTGTGTTCCCTCACAGATCAGCACTAGGGAAACCAGGAATGTTAATCACACAGGGCTATCTCTTCAAAGGAAGAGATATACAACCTGTGTTCCTCCAAGAAGCCTGGGAATGGAGGTGGTCAATAACCTAGTGACCTTTGTGCTATCTGTAGGGCAAAGCCATACCCGGCTCCCTCAAGTTCCCACAAGCTGGACCAAAGGTGGTTAATAGCCTAGATAACCTTTCCACTATCTGTATGATTGAAACAACTCCAGATCCTCCCCTAGGCCCTTGAGATAACACACGTGGCCTATCCATAGAACTCACCTTCGTGGAAGAAATAGCTTGTGCTTTAAGAAGCATTTTGATGTAATTATGAATCATTGTACACATGGTATTGTCCTATACCAGGAAACATTTTTTCCAAATTGTACTGCACTTACATATGTCTAAAATAAACTCCCAATGTCAGACTCTAGAAGGATGAACCAACATAGTTATTAAATTGTGTTGAACTGGATTTTCTTCTTGCCTCACATGGGCCTTTACTCTGCTGGCTCTGCTGTTTGCAGAGACTCTCACACTAGACCACAGTGCACATGTATACGTGTGTGTGTGCACACACACACACGCACCCCCCCAAAAAAAACAAGCATGAACAGCCAAGACAATATGTTTTCATCAGAACTCCATAACCCTATTATAATGGGCCCTGAAAATTGGTATGTAGCTGAAGCACAAGACAAATGACCTCAAAATAGCAATTATGAATATGTTCAAGGGCCATAAAGAGGATAGAATAAATCTCTTAATGAAGATTGTGAAAACACTAACATTTAAATGAAATAATGAAAACAGTTCAAGACGTGAAAGTAGAAAACAAATAATTAGAATCACTGAAGAAAACCCAAACTGGACAAGATCTCCTGAGTAAATTGGGACCATGGGGGGAGGGGGAGGGAGCTGGGAGAAAGAGAAGGGGATAAGAGGAGGGGAGAGGAGGATATGAGGGAGCAGGAAGACTGAGTCTGGAGAAGAATAGAGGAGAGCAAGAAAAGAGATGCCATAATAGAGGGAGCCATTATAGGTTTAAAGAGAAGTCGGGCACTAGGGAAATGTTCAGAGATCTACAAGGACAACCCCAACTAACAATCTAAGCAATAGTGGAGAGGCTACCTTTAATGCCTTTCCCTGATAATGAGATTGATGATTACCTTATATGCCATCCTAGAGCCTTCATCCAGTAGATGATGGAAGCAGAATCAGACACCCACAGCTAAACACTGGGCCAAACTCCTGGAATCCAGTTGCAGAGAGGGAGGAGTGATGAGCAAAGGGGTCAAGACCAGGCTGGAGAAATCCACAGAAATTGCTGACCTGAACAAGGGGGAGCTCATGGACCCCAGTCTGATAGCTGGGAAACCAGCATAGAACTGACCCAGAAACCCTGAATGTGGGTGTTAGTTAGGAGGACTGGGCAGTCTATGGGACCTCTGGTAGTGGATCAGTATTTATCCC